GCACTCTTCTAGTATGAAAAAATAGATACGCTTTGGATAAAATAATTTTACAATTTTAATCAAAGAGCACATTTGATGTTTATGATCAATTCATATGTGATTATTGTAGAAACTTTTGTTAATCATATGTGATAATCGTAGATATTTTTGTTAATAATATGTGATTGTGTATATTTACATTTATTAATCTTTTTGTGATGTAAATATTATCAAATATGGTGATATATTACTTATATTCAGACGCATATTATCATATATGATATGTACGAAAATCCACATAGTAAATCATATGTGATATGTAATAGATCATAAGTTAACGAAGTTTATCACATTTGATCCAAAATGTGAATCAAAAAATTAGAGAAAAAATGATAAAAAAATATTATGAATTAATTGTAGATATCACATGTGATATTTGATGAAAATTTTGAATTGTTTTTTTTTATCAAAGTATATTTAAGAACAGGGATGGGGCGAGTTTTCTAATCCTCTGCCCCTGCTCTGGTTTCTATGAACGGCTCCCGGCCCCGGCAGGTACGGGGATTAATATCTCGTTCCCGGTTTATTTTCTGGTCAAACCTTAATCCTCGTCCCCGGTCAAGACCTAATTTTAGAAAATAATATATATATATATATATATACATATATTATATAAAATATATTAATATTTTTATATACCGGGGACGAGGATTACTTTTTGGAATTTGAACAAGTTACTTCGTTATTTGTTTTGTATTTGAACATGCTATTTGCTTATGTGTTTGATATTTGATTACTTGGTTACATGTTTTGGATGTTGAACAAGTTACTTTGTTATGTGTTTTGTATTTGAACATGTTATTTGCTTATGTGTTCGATATTTGACTACTTGGTTACGTGTTTTGGATGTTGAACAAGTTGTTATTTGGTAATGCATTTGATATTAAAGTTTACTTCTATTTATAATTTTATTTATGTTTTTAACAGGTTTATCATGGATAATAATCAAATCATCATGGATAATAATAAAAAAACTATACTTCTCATCGTCGTATTCTTGTATATATTCTACTTGCGACAGAGGCGTTTGAAAAGGAAAAGAGATAATACGTCTGCAATGGCTGAACGTCAATTTACGGATGAGCTATATGAAGGTAGTGATCGACAAAGTATTGAGTTGTTGCGAATGTCCCGTGAAGCTTTCATTCTACTATATGATCACTTTAAAGCAAAAGGTTGGTTAACGGATGACAAACATATATTGGTCGAAAAAAAGATGGCTATCTTCCTGATGATTACAAGTCATAATCAACGTTATAGAGTGTTGAAAAACAGGTTATAATACTCAACACAAACAATTCATAGATTTTTTCATGAAGTGTTGGATAAAATGACGGAGTTTGCAAAAGAGATCATAGTTTCTACATCATTCAATCCTAATCCAGACATCCCTAGGAATAATAGGAGGTTACGACGAATATTTAAGGTAAATAATAATTCAATAATGGTTATATAATTTTCATTATTAAATTTATTTTGACTATTACCTTTAATGTAGGGAGCAATTGGTGCCTTGGATATAACTTTAATACTGCTATCGTTTTGGCAATTTATATAGAGGATGAGGAAGGAGTGAATGTTATCAAAATGTTTTGGCAATTTGTGATTTCAACATGGTTTTTACATTTGTTGTTGCCGGATGAGAAGGAATAACACATGACTCTAGAGTTTTGTCCGAAGCTACAGATGGTGCTATTGGATTTTCATTTTCTCTTTCAGGTATACTATTGATTTTACAGGTAATATATTTACTATATACTATTGAACAAACATTTTATTTATTGTTTTCAGAGAAATATTATCTATGTGATGTTGCGTATACAAATACTCGAGGATTTATAGCGCCGTATCGTAATGTTAGATATTGGTCCGGAGATTTTCGTCGTCGACAAACAATGAACAAGTATGAAAAGTTTAATCATTCCCATGCAAAACTTAGAAATGTTATTGAACGTTCTTATGGTGTCATGAAAACACGTTTTCTAATATTGAAAAGAATGGCACCATTTACACTTGAGGTTCAAAGGGACGTTGTTATTGCATGTTTTGCGGTTCACAACTTCATATGAAAAGAAGATTTAAGTGATGAGTTATTTTTTGAGTATGATCAAACCAACGAGCAAGTGAACAATGATGAAGATGAGGCTGAAGAGATTCAATCGCATGCAAGTGTCGCTGAACAAACATATATGACTAATTTAAGAGAAGAAATTGTGATACAAATAATACAAAATGAATATTGATTTTAGTTGTTATAGAACTTTATTTGTGTTTTCTATTTTGTGTTGAATTAACTGACGTATTTCAATTGATTTTTTGAATGTGTTAAAAATATATGGTAGTTTACAAATGGTTTAAATGACCGGATATTTCAGTTGAATTTAACTGAAATGAATTGATTCAGATTTCAGACTTAACACGTTTGCCGGTTTACAAAAACAAACAATCTTATTGATTCAGATTTCAGGCTTCAAACGTAAAAACAAACAATCTGACTGATTCAGATTTCAGACATAAAAACAAACAACATGACTGATTCAAATTTCAGACTTCAGCACCACCTCTTAAAAAATCAGACTTCAGACTTCAACACATCTTTAAAAACAAACGTTACATTAATAACTCAGAAACCAATTTTTTTTAAATATTAACTATGAATAACATGATAAAATATAAAATTTATGGAAACATTTAACATTACTAAATCAATCTGTTAAAAATAAATATATATGGATTACTGCAAAAAAACGTAAACGTTTTATTGTCATGAGTTAACACTCAATAATTATGAAACATTATATAAAAATAAAAACTGAAAACAGAAATAGATTTGCACGTAATCCTACATCCAACGGCTGGCATAAGTTCCCTCTAAACTCCACAAAGCAAATATCAACCGTCAGATCTCTATTTCATGCTCTACTCTCTTCTGTTTCACACTCATCATCACTCACGCTTTCTTCCCTCCACCGCTTCTCTCTCTTTCTCTTCACCCAAAACCACTCTCTTCCCAACCAAAGCGGTTTTCCGTTCATAATTCTTTGCCCTTCCTCATTCCCTCGGCAGTATCGCGTCCTCTCCGATTGCGTTTTACGACAGTTTTTCCGTCCAAACGCTTGTATTTGATCTAACAAAACGGTATTGATTTTGAGAAATTTCGTTGTTATGCTTTATTATAAACCCTACTGCTCGTCTCTTGCATGAACACTTTCTTATTCTTGGAATATTGTTTCTTTATTTTCTTCTTCTTTATGGCTACAAGAGAAGTGGCGTTTTGGATATTTCTTACAGTGACGACTAAAAAAGTTAATTTTCCAAGTTAATTTGATTTTTTTGGATTGAAATTTTAGCGATACATCTCTCATTGGGGTTTATGATCCCTTGGCGTGTAGGGTTTTTGGTGTGTTTGTATTTATGCAAAATTTGTGAAAATCTCACATACAAGCACTAACCATTCATTTTTAAGAATTTTGTTTTCCATATATATATATATATATATATATAAAGAAAATCGAGTTTCTTTTTAAATTTCCATCTTTTAAAAGTTAAAGTTTTGAAATTTCTTTATTTATTACCATATTAAATGACTATGGCTTTGGTACTGGACTCACGTTCGTCAGATAGAATATTTAGTGGCAATGGCTTTGGTATTAATTTCTCTAATTGTCAGAGAAAATATAAATGCCAAAGGGCTTTGTTATTAATTTCTCTGTTTTTATACTTGAGTTACAGTCATCTATTGCAGGAGATCATCACAGCTTCTTGAAGATTGATGATGCCTGGGGACAATAAAACTGCAATTTGTATCCTTTTTCTGATGCTTTCATGGCCTAATGGTTTATATGATAATCAATTGTATGTTGGTAGAAAATTCAAAATGAATTTGTTGCCTATAAAGTTTCTTAATGTAGCTTATGTTATTTTAGATGTTTTCTTGAATGATCTTTTCAGGTTTGGGGTGAAATTCTGTGAAATCTGACATTTGATGATAAGTAGTTTAATGTTTTAGTTATGGGGTTCTTTGATATTGGTAAAAAGGATATACTTGATGTGTAATTGTTGTTTGTGCCTCATGGCCTAAGAATTTTTTTGTTTCATTCTTGTTTATGTTACTACTTAACCAACCTGTCAGCCCACCCTCCAGCTGCAGGACTGAAGCTGGATGCTTGTCCTAACTTGGTTGATCAAAATGGGGTATGCCAAAAAAAATTAAGTTGAGTTATTGAGAGTTAAAATGTACTTGCTTAGGTGGTACTCTATCCCAAATAAAAGGTTTGACTTTTGCGCTTCGAGTGAGTTGATTTTTAACTCCAAGTGATCGTAGATTAAAAATGATAACTGCTTTATGGTTGTGTAGTACAGTAATAAGACACTTGAAGCTAAGAACATCCAAGCTGCGTTTAAATTTGGAAGCTTTGGATGCTTGAATTTCTGAAATGAAAAATGGACTCTTTCATTGAGACCAAGGGAATATCATGAATTTCAGCATGGCTTGATCTACTTAGTTTCGTTGTGACGTTCTTCTTGAAAAGATTCATTAGTATTCAAATGATGGAGTAGAAAAGAAAGTTGGGATTGCTGAGAACTTGTGGTACTAAATGTTACTTATTTAAGAGCTATGGATCATTGCTGGCATTCATATTTGCTTCGTTTTTGCTTACAAGTGTCTGAAAACAGTTCTATCCAATGCGCAAACTTATCAAACTAACATAGCTTAAAAATAGATTAGCTGAATATTTTTTTTGGGTCTAACGTACTGACTGTTGCAGTTTTCAATTACGATTGCTTCGTATGCGTTATAGTTTCTGTTGGCATCTCTGGTGGTTATAGTAATTTATACTTGTCTTTCAGAAACCTAAAAGAGCAACACGTTCAAATGTTTCCTTGTACTTTCTTGGTTTCATGAAATTGCAGCATCTCACTTGACACATTTTATATATAATGATTGCTAAGGCGCCCTTTCATAATTACGAAATGAGGGAATCTTGTGAATCCATATCAACAATGTCTACTTGTTTTTATGATAATAATGGAAATGTAGGTAAATATAACTGGACACTTTCCCAAAATGGAAATGTTGCAATGTATTGGAGTCCTACAACAAACATTTTGTGATCTTATAATTAGTTGAACTGACTTTCTTGTTGTTCCATTTTTTGCCCTTCAGATTCCCAGGATAGTTGGCATACCTTCAGATATTCCCCTACCATATACAGGTAAGGCTGTTTCCGCAGTTTCTTTGGTCAATGATGGGAGAGACAATAAGGAAGTTGCAGAGCGAAGTGTTCACTGTCCTCCAACTATGTGTTATGATTATCAGTATCCAGGTTAGAATTCACATAATTTTTGCCTTTACTCTTCCATATCTTAGAATTGATTTCCATTTTCTTCAACTGCAGCTCATAGTTCATGGTGTGGTATGGCTACACTCTTCAAATGTCTAGCCTTTTTCTATGTTTTTAAACAATATAAAACTAGTAAATATGGTATATCTTATCAAAAAGATGCCTTAAGGGCTTGTCTGTTTGGATGCTACTGGAAAGGTGCCTCTTTATCATGGATTGTTAAGCAAAGGAGACTGTGACTAATAAGTTCATTTATAGGCTTTTTTTCTTCTAATTTTCAGATTGCATTTGTTAGGCTTACAGTATTTTTTTCTCCGCCATTTTATTGTTAAAATATTTTGAAATTTATGCCAGCTCTCATAGGTTATATTCGTCTGAACAAATCAAGCAGATGAGACTCACAATCGGATCTTCATTTTCCTTGCACCATAAAAGTATGACACTATGATGAAAAATGATAAATGGTATTAAACAAATGCAATTTTGACTTGCTAATGCTAATTTTTCTGTAGGCATTGTTTGTATGTTTTCTCAAATTGGTCATTATCATTCCCTGTTTTAAGAGATTGGTTAGCTTTGATTATTCATTTACAGGACATAGCGGAACCTATCGTCAGTTGGATGGTTCTTGCCATCTAAATTCTGCTGGCGCCTCATACACGGACAATGGTTCACCTCTTTATTTTATGCCCGGCTACAATCCATATGCTCCTACGACTTTCTTGGGCGTTGATGGGCAACACCCCCATTTTTCCTCATCAGAAGGTATGCCATGCTACCCATGGAATTCTGTCTTCACTGGTGATGCAGAATACCAAAATCCAACATCTTGGGGCACCAAATCTGCCATGGCTTCTAATGGTCCAAAAAGGTCCAGTGATCTTAACTTGAACAGAAGCACGACCACTTTTAATGAAAGATCCCCAAATTACCCATTCAATATGCAGTCACGACAATCAACTTCTAATATATCTCAGTCGTTTCTTCAGTCTCAGCTTCTCTGCTCACTGAACAAGGTGTGTGTCATCTTCAAAGTATACTCCTTTTTCTCAAAAAATGCAAGGTTTGACTTAACATGTAGTTTAATAAGATTGTTTTTTACTAATATCCATATACCCCTAAAATGACCATTAATGATGCAAATTATGATAATTTGTGGACCAGGTCAATGTTACACACACACACACACACACACATATATATATATATAATATTATGTGAGATCTTCATTTTTGTGAGAAGGTGAGAAAAGGTGAAGGTATTTTTATATTTTGTGAAGGTTGTAACCTCCACATGACCTAAAAATGTGTGTTGGAAGGGTACATTATACTGTGTGAAGGTTGTAGTTGTCATACAATATAAGGTTATACTTATAAGTCTCATAATAAGGTTATATTATATTGTGTAAAGGTTGTACCTTTCTCACGAAAAGAGAACTCAACCGTAAAAACCAGTTTCTTGTTATTGTTTCATAGATTAAAAAAGCACATGCGAAAACCAAATCCGTGAAAATCAACCAAAGCCATCCAATGAGTTTGATTTTAAGCTATTATTCATATTGTTTCACATGTTCTGTTCTTGTGTTTGAGTATGAGTGTGTGTTCAATGTATAAATGTTTTTTTTTCACGCACAAAACATTCCTCGATGTTTCATCTATGAAACAGCGTTGTATGAACACTGAATGTTCACGTGTGTTGCTTCGTCTATGAAATAACACAATGAAACAACACATACAAACTGGTTTTCAGGTTTTTAACTTTTAGATGGTTTCTATATATAAGACAAAGAATCGTGTGAGAATAGGTAGTTACTTTATTGTAAATTTTATGTCATATGAACCATGGTTATCAATATACATAAAATTTGTTGGATCATGTATAATAGTTGATGAAATTATGTATTTAATTTGTGCTAAATTAGTTGATTCTAAAATGATCTTATGTAATTGATTATTGGTTTGATCTTTAAGATATAGTGGATATTTTTTCTGTGAATAATTTGGAGACTGAAATATTGTATAACACACTGCTCTCTTGTGTAGTCTACGCTGCAGTCAGGTGCTGCTTATCATGTTGCAAAAGGCTATGAGCCATGTCTGAACTTGTCATCATTTGCCTACCAAAACCAAGGCCTCTTTGGCAACTATTCCATGATGAATGGTCCTAAAGTGAGAGAGAATTCATATGTGAATGGAGAATCTGAAGAAGTAACTTGTGGTCCTCGGGCTTACATTGACCATGAAGAATGTGGGCATTCATTTAAAAGCGATGAGTATAATCTTGACGGGTTTCAGACGAAGTATGAATACGCCAAGTTCTACATCATCAAGTCATACAGTGAAGATGATGTTCACAAATGCGTTAAATATGACGTTTGGTCCAGTACGCCCAACGGAAACAAGAAACTAGACGCTGCTTTCCGTGAGGCTGAAGAAAAAACAAGAGAAACAGGGTGTAGATGCCCGGTTTTCCTCTTCTTCTCAGTAAGTGAAGTGAATGTACTACTTTTCTTCTTCAAATTTTGTTCAATGTAGCAAGAGTTTGTTTTGTGATGATTATGCAGGTAAATGGGAGCGGGCAGTTTGTGGGTGTTGCTGAAATGATGGGGTCAGTTGAATTTGAAAAAAAGATGGATTTTTGGCAACTTGATAAATGGAGTGGATTCTTTCCAGTGAAGTGGCATATCATAAAGGACATCCCCAACACACAGTTGAGACATATTATCCTTGAAAACAATGATAATCGGCCTGTTACATACACCAGGGACACCCAGGAGGTATTTGTTTGATCAACTTTACATATTCTGATATTCTTTAGGGTAGAGGTCACATCTGTGTACATTACATCCTACTCAGATCCGACCTCTGGGTGGGACATACTGGGTTTGTTTGGTTTGGTTTATATTTTGATGATAAATGGTTGGTTGATTTTGTTGTGGGGGGGGGGGTGTTCAGGTTGGATTAGAACAGGGTTTAGAGATGCTTGAGATTATGAAGAGGTACCTATCAAAGACATCGTTGCTTGATGACTTAAGCTTTTATGAGAATCGTGAGAAGTTGCTAAAAGCCCGAAGGACGAGTAAAGTTGAGGTGCTTGCTCAAATCATGTACTCTTGTTTTGTTAGATTTTTTGTTATTGATTTACTGAGAGTCGGTGGTGGTGAGTTTTGATTTGCAGAAGGAAGAAGGGTCAATGGATGCAGCAGCTTCATCTCTCATCAATCTCACCCGCAATCTGTCTCTTAATAATAATGATATAAGATAAGCCGATGACTTAGGGATCGAATGGATGATTAGGTTTATGGACTTGAATTGTGTTATTTGGTATTGTTTGGTTTGGCAAAGTAAAAAAGAAAAAGGTAATATGGTTTCATGTTGCATATTGGGCACTGAGTTCATTTATTTGTACATGCAACTATTAAACTTTAAGGATCATTCAATATATCAGAAAATATAAGAAACAACACTGAATTTCCTTTTCAAATCAACCAAAAAACAGAAAAAGTATATCGAAATCAACCAAAAGACTTCAAAATCCCTTGAAACCATGGATTTGGATTTGCAGGTCTTTGGTCCACCTTAACGGTATAGCCACTCAACACAAATAGTGGAAGCACCACTGAACATGATCAACCAAAGATTCTTATGTTCACGGTTATCCATCCACGGTTGCAAAAAATGCTACTTTTGTTTAGACATGGCCATAAATCGGTCCTGATACCAAAATAGTGATCCTGTAACCGGTTCTGGTCCCGATCCAAATGTGAAGGCCCATTTAAGTTGTATGAGGCCCGGTTATGAGGATCAGTCCCAGCCGGCTCAAACTGGTCGTATGTATAAAAAAAATTAAAGTTCGATTTTATACGTAAATTTTTTTGAAGTTATTTTTAAATAATACAAAAGTTTTATTCTAATATACTTGAAATTATGTAATTGGATCAATTAAATACACCTAAAAATATGCTTTTTTTTGCGAGAATTGTGAACATTCATGAGTTGGTATCTTTCTCCATATATGTGCATTCACATACAGACACATATATATATATATATATATATATATATATAGTGAATATATATTAAACGAACAATAAATACACTTAAAAAGTATGTTTTATTAACTAAGTTTTAGATATATACGAGAAAACTCAAATGATGGATACGCAAGCATGATAACTTATATGTTGTTCTATATCTTCATGTTGTATGGGGTGCAAATCTTATGTACGGTTTTATAGAGTAATTTTGTAATTTGTTTTCAATCATACATTTAGAAAGTAAAAAAGACATTTAAAAATATATTTAAAAATACATTTTAATTGAAAAAATTGGGTCGGTCCTAGATCGGACCCGTAACGACCGGGCTTTGTTTTTGATGAAAACCATAACCAATCTTTAAACCAACGGTCCGAAATCGGACTCTGGCAGTAGGCCCATTTGGCCATCTCTACTTCTGTTACATGTTTGCATTAAAAAAAAATACTACTTGAATGAATGAGTGATTTATGTGACTTCTTGTTATTTGAATGAATGAGTGATTTATGCGACTTCTTGTTATTCGCAATTCCAAACACCCCGGTGAAAAGAAAACCTTAACACACCCAAACAGTCACTTAAAACCCTCTCGAACATGGAAAAAAACCCTTGGAGAAAGCGGGGGAAGACAACACAATGATGGACGACGATCAATCGCAGCCGTTGGTAGTCAATCACTCGCCGGATAAAACCCCTGAATCTCCCCGGCGGCCCTTGAAGATTGCCAAATTTTCACAAGAAGACGAAAACAAAACAATGGGGCAAAACCCTAGCACGATCCAAAGGTACTTGGTTGCAGTGGAGTATATTGGAACTCGATATTCTGGTGCTCAACAACAATCACCTAAATTCAGGACCGTTGCTGGTGTTCTCGAGGTTATTACTTTTTTTTATCTGTCGAGATTAGACTGTATATGTATTGAGGATGGAATTTGACATGTTTGATTGTTTCATGTAGAGCGCATTTCACAAGTTCATTGGTCAGCCGGTTTCCATTTTTTTCTCGAGTCGGACGGTGAGTTAAGCAATAAGGATTTCCCTTCTATTGTTTTATAACATCCCGATCCATCACGAAGATGTATATTGTGCCATTGGTTCGTAACCTATACGATCATAATCTTTTGCATTACTTACTCATGAATGTATCTGGCTGTAGAATATCTCAGTAATCTAGTCTACTGTGTTGTGAATTTTATGATTGCTTTATATTCACACAAAAATTAGTATTAAGCATGTTATGTGCATGTATATACTTACTTCTACTGTCATCTTTAACAAGTAATACAATGTTAAGCACACCAGAATCGTTCAAGGGGTTTAGACTTCAAAGCACTTTTCAGGAAACAAGAAAGCATAAAAATTGGACTTTAGATGGCGATTTCGAAGAATAGTTTGTTTGATTTGGTGTACTTTAGAAATTAAACAGGTAGCATGAGTGCAGAGTCCTTCTTTGTTAAATAAAAAATATAGGAAGTTTGTGCCACTAGGCTGTGAACATCCATCACTTAGTTCTACTAGCTTCTACACAGACACTTACCCTAGATACATTTATCATATGCGAAAATAATACAAGACATGGTACAACCTGAATCTGTGTAGGCCACGTGAAACAAGGGCATATTCCTATGCTACTTTGATACACCTTTCCAAGTTCATTTTCTCATCATTTAATTTGGTTTTGCCTTGGTTATATCAATTGCAAATAAACACTTCTCTAAGTGATCAACTTGTCTGCAAAATGTGTTTTATCAATGAAGAACATGAATTAACAGAAAGAGAATGCTAACGAGATGAATGATTGCCTCTACCCTTTTATCTCAACCGAGAATTCATTTACACGCAGACTCTTAAAAATTTAGCCTGTCATTACTAAAGAGTAAAGAGGAAGAACAAGATAAATGCCAAAAAGCATTCTATTAGAGAAGCAACGGAATATTTTACACAACAGAAGTAATGAAAACAGCCGACAAAATTAGTAGTTTCGGAAATTAAATGCTTCTCAAATATGAAAGTACGAGGAGAAGTAAATGCAAAGTGTAAAAGTACGGTTACAGTAAGACTTAAGGATTATAAATTTGATATAAAAGATCACCCCTTTGGTCAGTAACATATCTGCCTACTTGCATTAGAAAACATAAAAGTAAGAATTCTGCAGCAGATGATAATATCATAATACTACCACTTAATCAACAATTAAAAGATAAGGTCTAAACACTTGTCCCTTTTATCTGATTACGGTTACGGTTACGGTAAGACTTAAGGATTATAAATTTGATATAAAAGATCACCCCTTTGGTCAGTAAAGTATCTGCCTACTTGCATTAGAAAACATACCGTATAAAAGTAAGAATTCAGCAGCAGATGATAGTACTACCACTTAATCAACAATCAAAAGATAAGGTCTAAACACTTGTCTTTTTTATCTGATTATTTGTACTTACATCTGATTACACTCCGTTAACTTATGCATTTTTGATTAAACCAATATTAACTTAAAAGTTAAAAAACTCTTCCTGTCTTGTATCAGCTGCTGTTGTGCATGTAGCCTACCTCTTGCAGTCTTGCTACGACAATAATCTGTCTAGCACTTAGCAACATACTTTTTCAGAAACCATAACACCTCAAGAACTCCAAATATCATTCAGCTTCATAAAAAGAAAAGAAAAGGGACGGACCAGAAACAGATACAAAACAGGGAAAACAAGGCGACAAAATAAGGGTAAAAGATGCTGTAACAACTTCAAATGAGTCATCACTGTGGAACAATAGTGACAACAAACACTTAAGCATATTTCTCGAACTACATTTATCTGGACTGCATTGAAAGTGGAAATTCTGAGGTAGTTTTGATCACTAAGAATATTAGAGTAAAAAACATGGTTAGTATTGCTTAGGTAGAAAACAGAAAGTTCATGAAAACTGTTGATAACAAATTTTAAAATATTTATTATTTACTTGGTTGTAGGCTTGTAGCTTATAGTGTAATAAGCTTAGTGTACTGGATTTCACTGTGACTTTGAGTACCTGGGAGTTAGGATGATATAAAGTGCCTTTTTGGATGTATTTTTGGCATGGCTCTAAATGTCATGAGGCATAGGCATGACAACGGGGCGGGGATGGGGAGGGTTTTGTAATCCCCGGTCCTGGTTTGGAGTAACATCCCCCGGCCGGTCCCTGGCGGGTACGAGGATTAACATCCCGTCCCCGGTCAAACATTCAATCCCCGGTCAAACCCCATAAATAATATCCTTTAATTTGATTCTACCGGGGATCCCCGGCCCTGGTTTGAGTAACATCCCCCGGCCACGGCCCTATCCCCGGTTTGAGTCTACCGGGGATCCCCGTCCCCGGGACCCGTTTTAGTGGGGAATCCCCGTCCCCATTCAGGTCGGGTGAACCGGGTTCCACCGTCCCTAATGTGGCATGACGCCTTACACGCCAGTGCGAGGACGCAACGTTTTTCAAGGCGCTAAATTTGTGGCATACATATATATATATATATATATATATATATATATATATATTCTATTTATTATTCAATGAGATAATGATATTAAAAAAATTTACATTCATATTAGAGGAAGAAAAATCATATATCTATACTATATTATAAAGCATTTGACAAAAACTCTTAAAACCATTTTTTATGCATGAAGTACTGTTTATTGATGCATATTACTTAAAATTTAAGATTACAAGTAAATTGTGCATAAGTACAACTTATTAAAGCTCTATGTTTGAATTCGTGTAGCTAACTGCGGATAAATATAATCAAATAGAGGATA